GTCAGCACTATTTGATAATGAACCACGATGTGGACCTTGACTAACACTACGTGATGATATATCATATGGATCTGATCTTGAACGAAGAACAAATCCACCACGATTTTCATCCATACGTCTATCTCGTTCACCTATTTTAATATACATAAATAGATAAATAAATAAATAAATAAGAAAAAAGAAAACTATTTACGTTGCATTCGTTCATCATCATCTTCTGAACGAAGTGATGTTAAAGAATCTCGTACATTTTTTGATCGATAACGTGATGCTAAACCATAGGGTACACTTCGTCGTATACCATAACCATGACGAAGACCTTGTTGTATTTGTCCATGATAAGTACCTCCATCAGCATATATTTCAACGCCATAACCATCTTGAAGTCCATTAGCCCATGTACCCTCATATCTAGCACCTGAAATTTCTGATGCACGAATACCATATCGTCCTTTAAAACCTTGTGTCCATTCGCCTTTATAAATCCATCTTCCTTTCTTTTCAACACCCAATCCATGTCGCTTTCCACTCATCCATTGTCCTTCATAAGAGTTTCCTGACGGCTAAAATACATATATATATAATTATTAATAGAACATATCAATAGATAAATATAATATTTATTTACCCATAAATAGATGCCCGAAAATTCATAGCCATATTGCCATGCGCCTGCATATTCACCTTGTCCTTTTGGTCCTGTACATACACCGTGTCCATGTGCTTTTCCATCATTCCATCCTCCACAATAAGTACCGCCGTCGTCAAAATCAAAACGGCCTCCATTCACTCCGACGCTCATCCGGGAGTCCGTTCAATAATAATCAACCTTAGTAACAACAGCAGCAACATCGACAACGACGACGATGTCGATGATAGCAAAAGGAAAATATTGAAAACGAACAAGTGGCAGGGGGTCACACAAAAATGTTTTTACTAATAGTAATTGTAGACGAAGAAAATGAGGATGAAGGAGGAGAAGAATAAGAAGGTCGACGGCGTAACAATGATGTTGTGACGAGTAGTAATAGTAGTAATTTTTAATGTGTCGTCTTCACAAGTTGATTGATTCCCAGCAAAACACGGCGATGCACAATAATGCTGCCATGCACGCTTAGGCTAGAATAAACTAAATAAGTGAATAAGTGGGTTGATGGAAAAAAACGGAAATCATATATAAGACAGACACGCACACTATTTTTTTTTCTTGCCTGAAAGGCTAAAATCTCAACAAAATCTTCCTGGTGCTTATTAATTATTTTCTATAGTCATGACACACTTTTTTTTTTCCTTTTCATCTATAAACATTAATGTAGACAAAAGGAAAACATCGTATGAATTACATATTCCCAATCAGAATGACAAGAATATTTTAGTATAAACATTAGAGAAGAAAAAAAATAAAAATAAAGTAATGAACTTCACGGATTTTTCCATCATACACATCATTACCCATCCATTGTCATATAGAGGTTTTGTTTTCTTCTCTACTACTATATAATAACAGTATTAAAAGCTCGATCTAAGCGCTTCGTTTCTTTTTATCGACTCAAAAGAAAAAAAGTTAATATACATATAACTATACTAGAAATTGCATCACACACGAGTGCGTGTATTAAAAAGAGCTTATTCTCTAAACCTAGATAGAGGATGATCAGAAAGAAAACGAACAAGAAAGAGAAAGAAAGACTTGGTAGTCTCAGGATTTTATGTCGCGCATGCCTATTTATTTATTTTTGCTCTGAGTTGTGCGCGCATTACACACGTTGGATGGGCTTTCTCGCTCTCTTTCTCTTTTACACACAAACAGGCAGATTTCAGGCAGCAGCAGGCAAAGAAAAAGAAAAAGACGAATATGAAGACCAAGAGACAGAAAGAGAGAGAGAGAGAGAGAGAGAGAGAGCGGGAGATGCAGGAAGAAGAATACGGAAGGAATTGTCGTCAGTCGCTGTCGTCGTCTTCCTCAACTTATTGCGACGTAGGCGTACGATACAAGACTGAAGAATAGTACGCATGCGAAAGAAGGGAAAAAAAAAGAACAAAAAAAAGCAGAGAAGTATTGAAAATACTAATAAACACGTCAGATATACGAGGAGAATAAGAACGAACAACAATGAAAGAAAGAGAGATCTCTGGAACGCACATATATATATATATATATATATATATATATATACAATGATGATAGTAAGAGCAGAGAGCAGAACTACAACAATAATAATAATAATAATAATAATAATAATAATAATAAAAATAATAATAATAATAATAACAACTACAGATGACGATGATGATGATGAAACTACTGTTGTTGATACAGCACGGTGATAGCAGTACGATGGTATTGGGCTTTCTGTAGGAGGAGATGAGTCTCTTTTTCTCTTTTTCTTCATTCTCTTTCTTGTAGAATATGTATAGTATGATGGCAAAACAGATAACTTGACATTCACTAAGCACAAAAAAAAGCCCCCCCCCTCTCCTTTCTTCGTATCTTTTCCCTTGTTTCCTTCCAATCGATTTCTCTTCTTTGGACGCCCTTCGGTTTTTTTTTCTAGTCTGTATACAGATGTATACCGCAACACTTCATATGTGTGGTTAACAAATAGACAGGAAAAGCGTGTCATTTCTATTTGATGTACTACTTTAACACTCATCAATACCATTGACAAAAGAAAATGTATTTGTGAATCAATCGTTAGTTCATTCTTAAGATGGTATTGTTAGAGACGGATTGACGAAGAAATCAGAAAGTAAAACTCGTCTAATATATTTTCCTTTTTTGTTTTCTTCTCTATCAACACACGCCTTCAAGTCACCTGTTCAAACTATGTATGTGTATCATCTTCATATTACCATAAAAAGATATAAAAAAAAAAACAGATTCATAGACAGAAAGACAATTTTTGTCTTTCTTCTACGCCTTTGGTTTGTGCGAAAAGCAAAGCATTAGTATCAACAATTTTTCTTTCTTTTTTTTCCCTAACACAAGTCAAGGTTGGACATTTGTAGTATAAAAAAAAAAAAAGAAAACCAGGCACATAATAATTTAAGCAAGGACAACGTATGGATCATTGATAAATACGAGCTTGAGCAAATTCCATTAACATCATATATCAACTATTTTTCAAATCTCATATTAATAAGATATATGTTGTATAGATTTATAAAAATCAATCTTTTTTTTTTTTTTTTTTGATAATTCTATCCTTGATAATAATTGGAATGTTCATGTCTGATATTTGTCTTTAACATAACAGATAATTCAATAGACAGTTCAAGATAAATATGTAATGTGACAAGATACAACGATACATCAAATAACAATCTTTGAACAAACAAATCAAAAGAAGACAAGGAAAAGATGCAATGTACTTACATTCTGTTACTTAGTGAATGTTAATCTTACATTGAGAAGTTCATGATCATTGTCAGTTCCTTGTACTGTCTCATCTTTTTTTTTTTTTTTTTTTTTTTTTATCATAGTATATATGTAATGTAAACTCATACATATATCAAAAAGACGAAGAAACAATTTTTTTCTATGTATTCCGATTGGTTATTATTTTTATTAATAGTTTCTCTAATAAAAATTATCTATACAACAAATCTACGTTGTAATGAAGATATTAATGGTACTGTTCAAATAGTTGAAAATTGTCGTGCATGTATGATTTTTATTGATACAAAAATTAATAGAACAATTTTATCAAAAAAAAAAATTATGTATAATAAATCATCAATAAATGAATTATTTTTCTATGATGAAAACAAACATTATCGTCGTCGTTATAATAATACTATGATTCATCAAAAATGCGCTCGTGAATCTTATGGTCCATTATATGGTTATGATCAAACACATTGTTATTGCAATATAAATGAATGTAATTTAAATATTCAACGATGTATTTATGAAATAGTATCAAAACGTTATTTTTCATGTTATCATGGTTCTAATACAAGTTTTTATTCACTTGAAATTTATAAACAATGTCGTAGTTGTCGTATACGAATAGAAACTAATTTAACTTATTATTATGAATGTTTAATATTTGGTGAACAAGAACAAACAAATTATACACATTGTACATGTCAACATCCAATGTGTAATCAAGATTTTGGAATATGTCAACGTTTTCAACCGATATCAAGTCAACCACAAATAAATTTAATTCATACAAGCGTACTTAATTCAACTAAGAGTACTTCTACTAGTACAATAATGACAATAACAGCAACAATAACACCACTGATCATTAATTCGATGAAAATTTTAACGATCTTATCAAGTATCAATCAAACTGAAGTAGAAATTTTAATTGAAAATTCAACATTAATTGAATTAACTTCAATATCATATAATGAAACACAAGAAATTGAAACAAATATCGCTGAGATAAAAAATCATGCAGATTATTTAGCATCAAATTTTTATTATAATCAACCATTTTGTTTTATTTTTTATTTTTTTTTATATGTGATTATTAATTTTGTCTTTTAGAAAGAAAATATAGAAAAATATGTATATTTAACTATTGAAAATATCATATGTCATTATTAATCTCTTATTGATTTTGTTTAGAAGTTAAGAATTTTAAATTTTAGTATTTAATTTTATTGATCGAAGTCGTTTTTCGAACAGTAATACATCTAGAATTTTGTTCAATGAAAGTACTTCAGTTGAAAACAGATAGTTCATGATCAAAAAAAATGTTTTAAAGTCCATTAGAGATAGTATTGGCTCTTTCTTTCGATTTGTCTTACTAGAACAAATCGAACGAAATTTTCCCAAGAAAACATCAATCATCGCATAGCGCCCTCGTGTAAATTCATTCCTGCATTTGGATGATGTCGCCCGATAAAATACTCGTTCTGTCACATGCGTGTGTCATTTTAATGGCTCTATGTTGACAATCTACATCAAAGAACATGATTAATGGCTTCCAATTCTTTTCGAACTATTCTTTAACTTACTAAACATATATTATACGATAATCACAATGGCTAAATCATCTAAAGTAGAAGATTATTGGCGACAACATAATATTGAAAATTTATTTAAAGAATTAACACAAGTTCTTACTCGACGTATGCCACCTGATCCAGCTGTAGCATTAGTTGAGTATCTTCAAAAAAAATTTCCTAAATCATTTAAAACTACAACAGATAATATTGGTATTGTTCCAAAAACATTAGCCAATAATTTACAATTACAGTCATTAACTTCACCAAGTTCTGATGGTTACAATGAGAGTATAAAAGATGTACAAAGTGGACAACTTTTAGCTACACAAAATCAAGCTAGTAGTATTGTTACAATTCCAACAACTGGTTCAGCTTTTACTGATTTATTTAAACAAGATGTAAGAATGATTGTATTTTCTTTTTTTTTGTTTTAAATACAATATTTTCTTTATATTCTTTTTTTTTTTTAGGCTACGAGTTCAAAACAAATGCCAGATTTAGATATAAAAACTCTTGTCTTTGCTAATCGTTTAGGTCAACAAGTTGTTAAAATGGGAAAAGATATTCGTTCAGATCGTGATATACTCGAAGAAGAATTAATTAAACCAACAAAAACTAAATCAACAACATTATCAACAGCAAATGAATCAATTAATACAGTTTCAGAAGGTCTTCAAAATACAGAAACACATGAAGAACCATCTGTATTACAATTAATTAAATATAAACAACAAATTCATATTGAAACTAATCGTCGTTTACATCGAGAAAAACTTGCAGGATTAGCAAACTCTCAACGTGAAAAAGAACAATTTTTCTCTGATATTTCTTCAAAATCAGGAGAAATTCAACAACAACAACAACAAACATTATCAGAAGCTGTATCAACAGACACAAGTAGTACTCAATTACCTTATAAACCTATTGTTAAATCAAAAGAAGAAGAAATATTAAATGATGAAAATCTATTTCAACCGAGAAAACAACGTTATCGTGGAAGACAAAGAAATAAATTAATGCCATCACTTACAAATACTTCATATATACGTGAACGAAGTACAACAGATTTTCGATCATCACTAAAAAGAGATGCTGGAAGTTTAGTATGTAATGTATGTGGTAATGTATTGAATGACCAAGAACATCAATCGATAGTTCATTCTCAACAAGTTGCAGGTCAGTTTATTTATTTAAAAACTATTGAAATTGATTGTAATTTCTGTTCTTAGCTATGCCAATAACACATTCATTAGAACTTCTACCATCTACTCGATCTGTAGAAAAAAAAGATGATGTTGTTGATGATTGGTTTGAAGCAGCATCAGATGCATCGAGTTCACGGCAATTAACTCCTGTAGTATCAAATGATATAATATCAACACGAATTGGTTCAAGTACATTTCGACGAAATCTTTTTCGACCAATTAGTGATAATAACAATGATACTGTAGAACATCAATCACCTATACGACCTTTAATTTTGAGTGATGATGAAACAAAATCTAAACGACTTAAAACACCACGTATTTCTGAAACTGGTATTTTCTCAAGATCACCTGAATCAAAAGTTCGTTCGCCACCATTATCACAAAATCTATCATCACCACTAACAATACAACATCATACAGATACTGACGATGTTACCAATCGTCAATCAGCAAAACCTATAGCACAACCATCATCTGCAAGATCAACTCCATCATCAACTTTATTAACAAGAATGACATCAACTAATGATCGAAGAATGTCAGGTTGGAGTGTATGTGAACATTCACTTGATGATTCCGACGAAAATTAATTTTTTTTTTTTTGCATTTTTTTAAATATTATTATATCATTGTGCCTAAAAAATATGGTAGAACTAAAAGAAATAAAAACAAAAGAATTATTCAAGATTTATCAATCGATATAAAGATATTGTATTTAAAAATTACAAAAACAAAACCATATTAGCGTTCAATCTCAGATCTCATGTTGGACGCGTCCAATCTCGAATTAGAGACAAAGTATATTGTACTCTATGTAGAGATGTTGTCCAAAAAAGTACATTGTTTTTTTTTTCATATTATTTGCTTGTAATTAGACATTGTATATTTTTTTAAAAACAAAAATTTCAGACCAGGATCCAAGACCAATGCGACGAATACTAAGCCAATATAAAACCTTATGCGAGTCTAAGATTGGACGTTGACATACACATAAGAATAGCATATTTTAAAATTCATCCCATAATTCTTCAGTGTATTATTTTAAATAAGTAAATGAGATTCGGTTCTCTCTCGCTCTCTTTTTTTTTTTTTATCTTGTTCGATCTCATTCAAAATATTTATTAATTATACAAAAAGAAAAAACAACAATATGAAACAGACATTAAAAAAAAAATGTATCTATTCAAATAAAAAAATTAATTATTTGCATAATACATATACTTAGATTATATACAATAACAATAGAAGTTAATAGATAAATAACAAATAAAAATTAAACTTTTGTTTCAGGTCCTGTATTTAAATGAACAAATGAATCGCGAAGTTTCATCATCGATCGAGTTAATATTGAACCATAAACTTTTGAATACCATTCATGAGAACGTCCCATTAAATCAACACGACTCAAATGTGTTATTTTAGATTTTCCACATCCTAAAAAAAAAATTACTTATGACATAACACTTGTAACAAAAATAAAAAGAAAACACTAACCATAAGATTGAATTAAATATCGTGAAGCCAATGTAACTGCACGAACTATTAACAAAATACAAAAAAAAGATAACAAAAGAGCAAAAATTAAAATCTGATTTATTTATTTTTTTTTTTGTCTAATATTAAAAAATATACCAAGTTTAGGTGGACAATGTCCTTTCGGATGTTCAATAGATGTACAAACAAGAACACAAGCTTCTCGTCGTTGATTATTTTGTGTTGAAATCAATGATGTAATAGCATTTGATGAAGTTGATAATGATGAATTAACAGGAAGATTTATTGATAATTTATTATTTTGATAATTACCATCTGTATTTAATTGAATATTTATTCTCCAACTACGTACTTCACAAAAATATCGAGATGCTAAAGGAGCCTAAAAGAATTTTATGAAAAAAAAAGAAAATTCATAAATTTTTTTTTTTGTTTTAAAATTAGAATTAGTAATTATTACCATTGAATTGATAGTATATTGATAAACATGTGTATTACGATTTAATTTTTCAATAATAGTTCCAGATTGAAAATCTAGAATAATATAAGATTTAAATATTCATTGAAATCAAAAACAAAAACAAAAAATATAATAAAATTAATCTTATTATCAATAAGAAAATTTTAAGAAACTTTACACAAATTATTTATTTTACAAATGAAATCATAACTTCGAAGAAGTTCGACTTCATATTATGATTACTAATAGATCTCAATGAAATTAAACCAAATTTGTGGTCATGGTCTATTGATAAAGAATTATGAATGTTTTGATGAAATATTTCCTGAGAGCAAGATATTGCTGAAAAATTCAAAACAAGAATTTCGACCTAAAATTTGAATGAAAATTAATATGTCTTTGTCGAGATACTCAATTATTGTGTCCTTCTATGGTAAACTACTGCTTTTTTTTTTGAAAATTGAATATTTCGAGAAAGACATGTTCACGTTGTCGTTGAAATTTTGAAGATAATCTAATGACTATCAAATGTGCCTATAGGTTAAATTTCAAGTCGAAACTCTTTGGAATTTTCGGAGATATTCGTAACTATAATATGAAATTGAATAGCATCGAACAGTTGAGTATGTTGCCTCGTTAGAAGCAATATACATGTAACAACTCTTAAGGTGAAGAGTATGTATTTCAATTCATATTCGATTAGATTGTTTAGTAAACGATATGTTCATGAGTTTTGGTTTCATTTTCAAGTATTTTATCGTTCTTTATTTGCTTTCAATATTCACGATTGGAACTATCTTATTTATAATCTTGTACTATTTTTCATCTATTTGTTCTCTTCTGTTAACTTTTTTTCTCTTTTTTCACTGAATAGACCATGAGACTCAGTATAATAAAAGCATATAATAGAAAAAAAGAAAAAAAAACAACAAAAGCCCATCAATACGAACCATCATCCCATAAATGTCTTTCATTTAAAAGTCGATTAAGAATTTCAATAGGTGGTGCTTCAATTTCAATTGAACATTTCCATAAACCAAGTGGATGTCCATCATTTAATTTTTTATATGCTAATTCAATATCATTATTTTTTCCAAATGATGTCCATCCTTTTAATTTTGTATAACATGATTCACGCATTACTTCAATTATACAACGATCAATAAAATTTTGATATGATGTATTTGTTTTTATTTTTATTGATTTTAAATTATTATTATTATTATTATTATTAACATTTAAAAGTATATTTTCACATGATGATGATGATGATAATGAACCAATAGAATCAGATGCTGATATTATACCAATTTCTTTTGTACGTTTTTGTATTGTACGTTTATTTGATAAATAACGACGAGATTTATTTATAATTGGACTTGTTATTGTTGTATCAATAATACGACGTGATAATTCTTCAAGTGTACATGGTTCACCAATTTCAATATAAGAAAAATGACATGCTTGATGTAATTCATTAGGTACAATAAATAATAAACGAACATGATCAATCATAAATGAAAGTATATCCATTGCTTTACGTTGTTCTTCAATTTCTTTTAAATCTGGCATACCATTATTTGATGAAAATTTATTTGAATTATTAAATGAAAATAATGTTGGAGCAAAACATGTTGCAAGATTAATTGAACTCATTTGATTTGTTTTTGAATGTTTTGAAACATCATTTAAAAATGATAAAAGTAAATGTAAAACAAGACGATTTTCATCAGGTAATAAAAGAATTGAATATTGTAATGCAAGTAAACGACGTTCATTATTTATTTTAAGAAAATTTTTATCAATAGATGAAAATTGATCATTTATATGAAGAAATAATGAAGATAATTTTATTGTAAATAAACATTCAGGTAATAAACGAAAATATTGTTTTAATACATCGGATACATCATATGGACTAAATTCATCAAATTTATGAAATTCAAAATTAGATTCTATTAAATCATGAAGACGTTTTATACGATGAGCTACACCACTAAATGAATAAAAAAAAGAACAAGAACAAGAATAGATTTATTTTACTAGAGAGAATTGGTTTATTAGATTTTTGCCGTTCGATATTAATTTACTTGCAAACTTAAATTAATGAATTTTATTCTGAAAATTGTCAGATATCATATAGAACTATTTGCTATAATTGACCGGATTTCTGGGGGATCAAGCGTCTTTTGAGAAGTAGCAAGATAAAAAACGAAAATTTCTCAAGATTGAAGGGTATGAATCTCTTCCGCTCGGAACTATTTCATGTCTTAGAACATCATGGTAATAATAACCTATAGCGCAAAAGTCTACACATAAACTGTTCAATCATTTTGTAGTCATTAGAAGACAATTGGTTAGAATTAGAATTTTTTGCTATTTCAGAATATATATGTTCAGATTTTCTTGCTGCAGTATGTACCAAGGAAAATAGTGATTTCAGCAGAGTCCTTAGTTTATGTCTTGAAATAGCTTTAATTGCACTGTATTCGATACAAAATAAGATATTAACAAAAAACAAAAATAAGTTGTACAAGATATTATGTTTAATTTTCAATTCGATTAGTTGATGTTTCTAGATGTAATGTCATATACTGAAACTGAAAATAATCTTTCCGAGCTGTATGAAAAGACGAAATAATCGATCAAGTAAATTTATTAAAAATTCAGCTTTCTCTCTCTCTAATGCTGAATACATGAAAAGTTTTTTTTTTTTACATTTTGTATCGAAAAACACGACAACAATTTTTTGTACTATTCATATTCTTGTAGAACATATAACAATATTTCACTTCAGATGTTACAAATATAGTTTATTTTTGCAAAAAAAAAAAAAAATGTAAAATGAAATGTTTTACTTATTGAATTTCATAGGCTTCAATCGAAATAAAAAATCATTGAAAGATAAGTGAATATTTTTTTTTTTTTGCCAATACTTTTGCATCATAGGTTATATGATTCTTTATCAATTAACTAAAACATCATTTATATTGTCAAGGTTAAAATATAGAATAATTATACTAACAGAAAAAAAAATTATTTTCTATTTTTTTTTTTCATTAACTTACGGTTTACGAAATATACCAACACTATCAATAGATGTACGTCGTAAATATTTCATTGCTGAAATAATTGTTATTGGTACTGGATGTCCAGTACGTTGTGTCATAGAAAGAAGAGAAACTCCGAAGACTAATTTTTTAATTTCATGATGAATTTCCTACAAAAATTGAAGAAACAAAAAAAAAAGACAACTACTATTAATTCAATAGAATTTATTTAAATAAAACCTTTCGTTGTTGATGTCGTCGAATAATTAATTTTGGTACAGCACTAAATGCTGTTGCAAATAAACATTGTCTTGATGGAATTGTTCTATTAACTAATGTAGGTTTATTCATAGATAATATTCGTGTTGTATCAAATAATTCTTGTAAACGTATTAATGCAGCACGACGTAATGCTAATAATTGTCCAACAGACATTTGTCCTAAATGATATTTTGATGAATTAAAACTTGGACGATGTGTTTTTGTAAATGAATGCCATTTAACACGTATTTTACGACTAGTTGGTAAACGTGATGATGTATTTGTTATATTACTATTCAATGAAGAAGATGATGATGAAGACGGAGATAATGATCGATTAATATTATTAGTAGTTAATATAATTGAATCAATTTGTCGTTCAATACTACTTGTACCAAGGCCAGAATCTTTTCGATTCGTTGATATATTTTTATCATCATTTGATGATGTTGACGTTGATATTGGTGAACAATCTTCAATAATTAATGGTTCACTTAAATATCCAAATGGTATTGGAACATTATCATAAAATGAAAGACGTGTCCAATCATATATATGAAAATGACGACGAGCAAATGTTGTTGATTGATATGAAGATGATTTTGTTGAAATACGATTATTATCAGTTGAATTAATTAAAGGAAAATGTTCAAGTTGTTCATCACAGATTGGTGATAGACGATGGTTTGTTTTATCGGTAATCATGACCTTTAGATATATGAGTTAGGATTTTGAAGGTTAAAAGAAAAAAAAAAAAAAAGAAAAACTAGTTATCAAACTATTAGATAACCTCGAAAAGAGAAAAGAAACTTCATTTCACGCAATAGTGACCTTTTCGTTTTTTTTTTGACAGAACGAAATAAATTACATATGACTTTAGTATTTAATTCTTACGGGAAGAGATTCATCAATAGTCAATGAATCAGTATTTGACATAATTGTTGGTGTAGATATTTTATGTCGTCGACGATGAATGTCAACTGGTCTATTTGTATGAGTTCTTAATTTAACATCATGTATTTTATTTTCCGAACCACTACATTCAGCTTCTTTTGATGAATAACCTGATGATTCATGATAATAATTATGAGATTTTAATAAAGATGGAAGAGAAAGTGGTTCAGCAATTATCAATTCCATTGAATCATCAGTTGAATTGATCATCTGAAATACAAAAAAAAAATATTTATCATATACGACAAATATTCTTTTTTCTCTCGACACTTCTATTTTTTTCTCTCTATAGTAATCATCGACGCCAAATTAGTTCAACAATTTTTTTTTTTTCTTCTCCTATTTGGATCTATGTGAGTGTATGGTTGCACACGACATACTTTCTTTTCTCTACTAATACTTGCACATATATACGGTCGAACATAGAACGAGGTCACTATACAATATATTGCACAGCATCATACATACGACTATTATAACAATGATGAGAAGACGATGATGATGATGATGATGTTGTTCGAATATTTATATATGGAAACAGTGAACATCTTAAAAAGATTTGTCTTTCTCTTCTTTATTAACTAGATGATATATATATATATATCATTGAGAATAATGACACTGAATAAGACACATGTGATCAAGGACAAATCTCTTCACAAGTATATACGCATCAAAGCTCATCTCTATGGGATCAATTTCTTTTATATGTGATAAGATGGCAACAACTACTAGTAATAATAAATCGAATGTTAGATAAAAAGAAATATGTGCTATTTACTAGACTTTTCTTCTAGCTAAAAAACAAAAAAAAAAAACGAGAAAAACTATTTTATGTTAATAAACTCAAATTCACATTGATAAACCAGTTCGTAGTGTAAGTTTTGTTCTTTCTTCGATTTTTTTATTATGTAAATAATGTTGCTGAGAATAACAATATAACCGACTAATAGTACACAACGAAAAGAAGAAAAAAAAAAAGAAAGAAATAATGAAGTAGGCTACTTGAAGCAACTCCTACAGCTGCTGTTTAACTGGTTCCTTGTGTATGTCTTTCATCAATTGTTCGAACAAAAGTATACTCACATATATTTCTTCAATATATGATTTCTATTTTGATCTTTGTCTGTCTGTCTGTCTGTGTAACAGAAGACAAGAAAGAGATTATTGTATGAACATATATATATATGGCGTAATATACAATTATTTTTTTTTATCGATATGCATACACATACATCGATTCATGGATGTCGACAACGACAATGTGGCCACGGACGAGGATTATATAAATACATGTATACATAGAAAAAAAAAAAAAGGAACATTTTGAGTGAATCGATCGTACAATGTTGTGCAATCAATACTATTCGAATCTTATATTAGGTGTATATATGGAGAATTAATCACACCATGATATGTATGCATTTTACTCATCGTATATGTCATTTATATCAGTTACTACGTTGTATTAATGATATTTGATTGATCGTTTTAGTCTTCTTCAAAGAGAATATATCTTACTTACCTACAGAAGTTTTTCTCTCTTTCGTAGATAGGTGTTCTTTTTCTATGAGAGCACAAGTGCGTGCGTGTTGAATAACAACAACGAGTCAATGTAAAATGAGGAAAAAAATATTGTAAAGATAAGAGAAGAGAAGGGGGGAAAAGGCGTGCTTGAGGTGTAATATAACGATTACAAACGAAGCAGCAAAATTGCTGATTCGTGCGAAAAGAAGAAAAAAAAAAAAGAAAGAATTGAATGAATGACAAAAAAGAATATACTGACAAATAAACAAAGAAATATATTTTTTCAATAATTAAACAACAGATTATTTATTAAATAGAACTCATCCGTACATTATTTTTTTTTTGAAATTGTCTATAAAGTTCAGTTAAAAGGTTTCGTAATACAATACAAACAAAACAAAAAAATGTCCCCATGATTTTCTAAGTCAATGATATAATCGTTCAATTAAAACTTTTAACGTAATAAATAATATATTTGATCAAATAACTAAGATTTTATGTTCGAATAATTGTCAATTTATTGCCCGACTTAATTATTATTTACGCATGATGTCATTTCAAAATGATGATTGCATGTATTGACGTCATTAATAGAACAAGTGGATGGATGAATACACAAATAAGTCATTAAACATATCAATGACAAAATTTACAACAAAAAAGAATAAAAAAAAAAAAGAAGATTCTATAATGTTAGCTACTAATCGTTTAATAAACTATAATTTGATCAATCGACTATAAATAGTACAAAAATTTGTTTGTTAGTCACCCTTAGGATAAATGACATTTCTTTTTTGTTTATATACCTACTAGAATAGAACAGCTGGTTATAATGATTATATCGTTCATTATAATGAATTAGTATTGAATACAAGGTTGATTGTTCTAGTAAAAGTTATGTGAAATAATTGTATAAAGAATTATTTGTTTATTAACAAAGGTTATTCTTATTATTATTCTAATCGAATAGTTACTATCTTATTATTTAACTACCATTGTTATGATGATATCAATCAAAGTAGTCATAAAATAAAAGATTCTTTTTTTCTTTTTTTTTTTTTTTTTTATCAAGATAATATTATAATATTAAAATACTTGATTGATAT